ACTCGTCGTCGGGACCCTCGGATTCCGATATCGGGATTCTCGGACCCCGATATCGGGCATCGGGTTATCGGGTGGCTGTAACACGTCGCATTGGCCCATTCGGGTTACGCCCGCCCCCTGTGATTCCTCCCCTTCGTGTACTGTACAGTTCTTTTCGTTTCGTTCGCACGCTCCAGTAGTATTAGCCCTCGCCTCGGCAGAGGGGTTCCTTAGACTTGTTATCTTTGGATCCCCCTCTGCTAGGTGCGTAGTATAGTCGCTGGATGTATTCCCTATCGTCTTATATATTATCTTTGGATCCCCCTCTGCTAGATCTCGGGCTGAGTGCTAGAGCGCGCGGAGGTTGCCCTTACAATACTATGAGTTTTCCCTAGGTTTTGCTGAGAGAAAGATATTGAATTTTTCCTTGCATTTTGCGAGTGTCAAAAATCTTGGGAAATGATTTGTTTTCCGGGTGAGAAAAACCTAATATTTTTCCGGGTGGTTTTTTCTTCTGAAAAAATGCTAAGTCTTTCGAAAGGTTTTTTCGTCGGAATTCTTAAAGGTTTTCAGCAAGTTTCCTCCATTTTTCTGGCTTTCTGTGAGAGACTAGCAGGGATCCTTGATTTTCTGTCAAAACCTTGACAATTTCCGAAAGAAAAACCTTTCGAAAGACTTAGCATTTTTCCAGTGGAAAAACCCACCCGGAAAATATTAGGTTTTTCTCAACCGGAAAACAAATCATTTGCCCAAGATTTTGACACTCGCAAAATGCAAGGAAAAACTCAATATCTTTCTCTCAGCAAAACCTAGGGAAAACTCATAGTATTTTCACAATTTTGCTAGCGGGAAAACTCTAAGCCCTCCTGGCAGGAAAACCTGCCGGAAACTACAAACACTCTTTCTCACGGGGTTTTTCGGGTGGAAAAAATAGTTGGTTGGGTGCCCCAGTGTCAGCGCTCGCTCACATCGCTCACGCGCGGATATCACATGGCTGCAGGGTTAGGCTTTAGTGGCCAGGCACACACACGCGCGCATCTCCGCCGTACCGTACAGGGAACGTAACAACGGATGTCTGACGGTCAAATACCGTACCGTATACCGTACCCGCAAAGAGGCATCCGACACTGAGAACGGTACGGGGACGGCTCCCGTATTACGACCCCGTAATTACGCTCATTACGGTGACGGGGAACAGCCCTAAATACACCGCGGCATACAGCAGGCAATGATTAATGCTACTTCAACTTCTATGTGCTCTTGTTTACTTCAACACATGCGCCAGAACCGCTCAAGAAATACCTCGCGCTGAGACACACTGCCCGCCGACCTCCACATGTCAACACGCCGGCGTTCCGCTCTATCATGTCCGCATGTGGTAAGGTGCGTGCCTGTTTCCATCTTGTTTCGCTACAAACAAGCTATTTACGAGTTGATAGGCTCAACCAGCCGCCACTGACCGCAACCTTCTTGCCCATTCCAGTGCTGGGTGGGCAGTACTTCGAGATTGAAGGTACGTGCCTCTTCTTTCCTTGCTTTCATAGTTTTCTTCCTCCTTAACCCTTTCCCCTGTTTCTCTTTTGTTGTTACAGCCGTTGCCATCGCCCCTGCTCCGCTATCCATCCTCCTCATTTTACGCCTCCTTTGTCTTTGCTTGCCCGAGCCAACGATACCCTTGTTTCTTCTAGTCCTAGTCGACGAACGACTGCTCCACGTCATGCTCTCCCCGTCGCCTACGCTGTAGTTCCAAGTTGAGCTGGCAGGTTAGGACGGGTCGGTGTATAAGTACGGCGACGATCATCCGCACTGCACATCGGCATGGAAGGGGGACTCCAGCTTCCGAGGTTTTACAACGCCAGGACGGATGGAGGCTGATTCCCGTCCAGAGGCGGCAACGATACGTATCCAGCGTGAGGGCTTTAGTCGGGACCAATTTTGACGAGGGCACGCACTCGCCCAGACCTGATGCCGTGGTCCGCTCGCCCGCGACGGGGTTGGCGTATGTCAATGAGCATTCGCCATTCAGGCGTGGTTCGGCTATTTCGCTCGTGGAGCGGCGGGATGTTTCGTTAGTGGACACGGCGCGTCGAGCGAGGGTGAAGGCAACTTGAGAGCGGGGAGAAGTGTTGCAGTAGAGATAAGTGTGTTGAGATGTTAAGTGTGCGAGATCGAGCACACTCCTCGTCGTCATCGACGTTGCCTCCCTGGCCGTGGCCGTCAATTCCGCAAACGAGCCCGATGGACCTGGCGCCGCTGCTCTCACCGTGGTCGCTTGCCGATCCGCCATTTTCAAGTCCCGTTTCGAACGTGAATCGCCATGGGCAGCCGAGCACTTGAAGTTCAATAAAAAGCTGGGTGGCTCCTGTGCCGGTCCCAGCATTGGACCCCCTCTCCGGCCCTTTTCTAACACAGCCGGGTTTTCGATCGGACATGCAATCCGGTCTCATTCCCCAACGAATCTCCGTGCCTGGCTACGAACCTCACCTTGGCAGAGACGAAGGCCAACTGCGCGAGTCGAGTGTGCGCGGCGGAGTTGGGTTAGGCGAGAGAGAGATGAGGCGCGTGAGGTGGTGAGGCAGATGAGCTGTGACGGTCCTTTATACCACGCATCGACGGGTCTGTCGTCGTCCGTGAAGCCGCTCTTTGTTGTGATAGGCTACTAGGACTTCCCCGCGCATCGAATTTTACCTATACGAAGAAGCATTGTGTATTCCTCAGGGTATCCGCCGACATCAACAGGCCTCGGGTATCGCAGATCCTGTAGCGTTGATCAGAATATACTATGAAACGGGCAAAGTACGGTCGACTATTGAACGGTAACTACAGTTGAAAGTACTGGAATACGCTCCTTAGGCATGGTAGAAGCTATTGCATTGTAAATAGTGCCTGCAAGCAAGCTTTTTCCAGCGCCTCTTGAAATCCTCTGCCACGTCATCATACGTGATAACAATGCCATCAGGCCGTCTACCTTTTCCTGCACGAATAATGGCCGAAATGGCTCGACCTGTGGATTTTGAAGCACTGGCTCCTTCGACCCGCTATTCCACCTCCAATCACACCACCTGTATTCGCCACCAACAAGAGAGAGCGTTGAGAGCGTCGTGCCTTGCAGCGCCGGGTATTCAGCAAACATAAACTTGGCTTGCTTCCTAACCTGGCCGGCTAGCAGCTCATATTCGCCCTCGGTTGTGATCTTCCGCTTGTTTTCAACGGCGGAAAATGGGCTGGGTATTCCAGATGCCGAGCACCGGGTCCATGGTGTACAGAAAAATGATGAAGTCAGGCGATTGAGAGGTGGTTTCCATTTCACGCGGTTTATCAGGAGCCGTTGAGGGATCCCGCTTCATCACTGGTTTCTGTTGAAGCGGCACGAAAGGCTCCTGATCGCGGAAAGAGGGAGGAAGAGGGAGCCGAGCTCGCCGAACATTGCTGATAGTTGGCTGCTGTTCTGGTTCCGGTTCCGCGTCCGGTTTCTGGACAGTCAGAAAACACGGCGCTGACGTCGGGCGTGGAAAGCGATTGCTCGCCCCGTTCTCCAGGGTAATTAATGATACTGTCCTGCTCCGCAATTCCTATGATAGGAGAAATCAGTTCGCGTTTGGGTGTGAATAAAGTTGGGCGACAGACCTCTATGCACTGCCCATCGATAATCGCCCCTGGTTAACTTTCCTTGGGGGTTAACGTCAAGCCAAGGGGGCTCCACCGTGGCTGTGGCTGGCGTCGACACAGTCGACTGCCCGACATGGCTCGTAACGCGGGGCCGCGGAAGCCCAGTGGTAGTCTGAGCGATCCAGGAAAGAAATCTGGTCGTGAAGGCATAGTATTTATGCTCTTGTGCGTCATCCGGGATAATATCGAGAGCAAGTTTTGCCTTGCCGATTTGGACGAGGACCTCAGACAGGAAAGATATCTTGCGGTCGGTAGTCCGAGCGATATGGGGTTGCTGAGAGGCGATGACCATGCTGGGTAGAAGAGCAGCGGATTATGCCAGGCGTGGGGGATGCGGTGCACAAAGCGTTTGTCCTGATTTTTATAAGCAAGGACCAGGCCAGCCTGAAGGTGTTTCCCGTTCAAGTAAATCCCCAAATTTAGCTCAGATAATGAACGTTTGAACGTCGAACAAGGAAAGCTGGTCGAGACAAAAGGCATGCCACTGTAGGAACAACAGGCGTGAAGCAAGGATCTCATAGAACAATACGAGAACAATCTCGACATCGAACAAAGCGTCTAAATTTGAGACAATACTGTCATCCAAAAAAGGATGGTGCCACCACAAGTAACTCCGAGTCGGACCCGTGGCGCCCACGTGACAAAAACCAACTTGCCTTTATATTCTCGACTCCTCTCAAGTTGCCACCGAAGCCATGCCCGACTTGGCCTTATCCATGTCCTCTCCGAACGCATCTCAGCATGAGCCTGCCCAGCCCACCATGGCTGATGTCGTTTCCCAAATGACGGGCGCGGACAGGCGTATTTTCTTACTACTTACGTGCCCTCCGAAATCGACCAACGATCTGCACGGTCGCCCATCTTTGAGGGTGAGCAGCTCAGATTCTTACTTCGACCACCAGGGAAATAATTCTCCTCCTCCAGAATGCCTTCATCAAATTCGTATCGCGTGCTCGAGCATACGAATACCTCCCCCTGAACACGGTACCTGACAAGAAAAGCCGATTTCAGCCTCCCCGCTGGCGCTATGGGTACAAGTTCACTTTTGAACAGGCTCTTGCGGTCAATGAGCAGCGTCTACCCCCCGACCAGCAATTATCGCCACTGAGCTGGTTCCGGGAGTGCTGTGACGACGATGCTGACCCCGTCGCCGAGCGCGCTCGTGTTGCGGGTTCATGGCTTGAAACCCGCGTGAATGTTATTATGGAGGGTGACCAAGAAGCGCAATGGTGCCACGCCTGGGAGAATGGCGAGAGGATTCTGGTGCTCAGTTTTAGGGACACATGGCGTCTTGGAGAAGCGCCGGGTGCCGATCAAGTCGCTGCAATCAGCGAGTTGATGTTTGGTAAATACGTGGAGCCCATGTGGTATGTGGATGCGTTCGATTGTTTCTGGGGGGCGAAGTATTAGCCAGTCATGGGCAATGGACTCCTTACGCCTCGCCTGTTCACCTTGTGGAGATTCTTTGCCCAACCTATTTTCATCATAGTATCGCGTCGCAATGTGATGGGTCGTTCATAAGTCGTCTCGCGTTGAAAGGCGTGTCGTGCTCGAGGATTAGAGTCCCAACATATTCACTATCTATCTGGCAGCGCGTCGGACACTGCTCGAACTGAAAGCCGTGAAAATATATTTTCTGATCTAGCTTTAGCTTAGAAACATGGGTGAGTCACTCCCGCAGTGCTAATGAGTGACTTTCGTCGTTTGCGATCCTAGCTACAAGGGTTTCGCGCAAGGCCAAATAATTAGTAGTCGTTCTATCTGGATGGTGACCCTTTATGGCGACCGCCTGGGCGTACAAGCTACCCACCGCCTACAGAGCTACTACCTCCACCGACACTCCAGGCGCACCGCCGTTGAGCCTGTCTGCGCCGGCATCACGTTCTGGCATTTCCTGATTTGCTATGAAGTACTCGCGTTTAGCAATCTAGATTCCGGCTATCGACGATCTCCACCTACTTCTGTGCTGATGAATGCGTTATTCTACTGCGTTATTACTCCGAACGTCCGACCGTTGTCTTCTGTCTTGAAGGGATCGTTCTTGACAAATGATTCATTGCCGTCTCAGCAATTGTATTCCTCCTCTGGAACCCTTCACGTTTCAATGTTCGCCCTCTATTTTTTAAGGTACTCCATCCGTATTTAAAGCATTCATCTACACATTCCTGCAGCACGATCGCGGAGGACGTATTGCGTCTATGGAGGGTGGCCCGACCGCAATGCAAGTACCAACGAACCCGTATTATTTAAGTAGGCCATAGTCCGATAACTACCTACTACAGGAACATGTCTGAATGTCCGTGATGCCAATAGTGTAATGCAAAGTAGCAAATGATGGGTTAAACGAATGTATTTATAAGGGTACTATATAGAAAAGTCGCGTGAGGATGCGGAAGGAACGTCTATGTTTCGAGTCTAGATATTTATTTTGGAAGTCCTTGCGTGCGGGTCACGTCAGCTTTCGGGAACTCCACCACGTTCGCCTCGCAAGCGGTTCTGCGCGTCGTACGTCAGTCTAAGCACATCTAATGATAAGAAGAAAGGCTTACTCCTTTGTAACGGTCGTCATCCTTTGTAACGGTCGTCAGGTCCTGCCCGCTTGGATAAGTGCGCAAGGTATTGACGAGCTCATCGTCGGTAGGGTTGGCATTCATGCAGGGCCCGCGAACGGATTGGCCGCCGTCGCCGTCGAGAACGTTGAGGCTGAACGCTGCTCCGTCATTCCCATTCCAACAGGCGGCAACGTCAGTACCGGTCCATCAAGTCCACCCGAATTAGCCGGCGATCCGCCGAAGCTTCTGCCAAAACACGTTGGGTCGACCTTCGGGTACACCAAGAGTGTCCGACACAATCCGTAGGGTCGTCCGGTCCTTACCGCTACCGATGATGTTATCGTCGCAGATGACGAAGATCAACTTGCGCTTGTTGTCACAGTGCCAGGCAGCGAGTGAATCATTTCTTCGACGCAGCGACTCTTCGCCTTCAGTGTAGCAAAGTGTAGCAAGGAACCTGGCACAGAACGAACTTGTCTTTCATCTCAGGCGTGCGAGTTGCAGTAAGGACTACAAAAAGGGTTAATGAAGCAGGAATATCTGTAGTACAGGATAGACTTACGCCTGAGGACCGTGGATGCCACGAGGACACCCGAAATCGCGAGTAGCAGGTAGCTCTACACGAAACACCTCGGCGTCTTCCTGAAATCCGTCTTCCCGACAAAGACAGCGTTGCGCAGGTAATTCTTATTCCGCGCGCGCACAGCCGGATTCATCTTGGTCATCACCGCCTCAATCGACTTGGTGGAGTCCTGGCCGGCTTGCTGCTTGAAGACATCCACGAGGTTCTCATCGAGGAACTTGTGATCGCCGTCGTCCCAATGGATGCCAAGCGTATTGAGGTAGTCGTTAAGGCCGTGGACGGTGTCGCCCCAGTATCCCACACCCTATAAAGCGCACATAAACATAAGAAATATGAACATTTTCCTGTAAGACATACCTTTGGATGTCCTGGTCACGAGCCTGCGCCAAGATATCCTTCTTCTCGGAGACGAGGGGTCCCTTCTTGTACTGGTTGATCCTAAGCGAGAATCTTGACGTATATTAGTCAGGCTGGGCACGCCTTGAAGTGAAAGAGCCTGACGCATGCGACCCTGTGGGAGGGAGGCCGAGGGTTGCGTTCTTCACGGTGAGCATCATCTGCAAGTCTGTGACAAGGTCCTGGCACGCAAGCACAAGAGGGGGAGGGAGATCCTGACCGACGACCTACTCAAGGGTATCCATCCCGCCGCTGATCAAACCCTGGACGTCGCTGTGGTCTCTGCGCACGAACTTCGAGACGTCATACACCTGACCCTGGATGGTGACCCAAAGTCATCGTCCGTGGTATGCAACGCGGCACAGTAGCCGGCGGAACTCAATGATGTAGAAGATGATGATGGCGTTGAGGATGAAAATGAGGATGGCGATGGCAAGCTTCCCCTGCCACGCCAGCCTCAAATCTGGCCGCTTCATCCACCCTACGCGCGTCAGCATAAACATCGGTCGTCGCGCCCCTCGCACTTCGTCGGCACGTCCTCCACCGCGTGGCAAGACGATTGGCGAGACTTGATGACAGACGTATATTGGAGCCATTGGTGACAGTGAAAACGTAGTGTATGTCCTCAAAAGACTATGAGGCAAGGTGGCCACGGGCGTACGTGCGTAGACATCGATGAGGTCCAGGAGAGGTGGTGAATACAGACAGACGCCCTCGTTCTTCGGGGTGTGTATGCGCCGTGCTCCGATGCCCCACCCTCGTGCTGGTTCTTCGAGTGTCTGTCCCGCCCTCGCCCTTCCGTTGCGCATGCATTGCGCTCCGCTTCAGCTCTTCGAGTGAGCATTCATAGAAGGCGCAGAAACCAAATAACGCACCTTTTGCGCTGATCTCAAGCTCCAGGTCAAGGCTTCCACGTTCTTGGTACAAGCGTGACGAATTGGTGAAGGGCGTGGAACGGCGACGAGTCCGCCGATGACAGGGAGGATGAGGTACTAGCACTATTGAACGTCGAGCACTGTTGTTGAAGGGCATTGTTAGTCCCATAAAGTACTTTGAGGGCGACACGTACCTTCATATCTTCTACATCGAGGACCAACTCCCGATCACCCTCATATCCCTACTCCTCCCTAACTGAGCCGCTCCCATGGGTATTGTCTCCGTCCGTCCGACCGGCGTGCAAAGGTGAAGCCGGTGGGCTTGATACCGCCGATTCTACCGGGCCTCGCTTCAAAACACGCGCGGGATGGCGTTGGAGGCAGTTTTAAGGTACAAGTCCGCCTTGACTCTGCGCTTCAGATGCTGAGTTATCGCGACATCGGAAGGCGTTTGAAGTTGACGAGCGCATGAGTTATCATCGCCCTTTGCAGCACTAATCCCACGTTGAAGTTGACGAAAGGTCGCTGGTGACGTAGAGGTATCGCCTTTGTGAACAGCCCGTAACATTGATGATCACCTTGGCGCGGGAGCTGCAACGTGAGTGTCGTCTCGTAGTCGGCGGGACGAGCGTCGAGGTTGATGGACGACGCAGAACAGGCCGGGGTGCCTTGAGTTGGACGGGGCAGCGATATTCTGCACAGTAGACATGACGCCTGAGTAGTCCCTGTATCAAGGACATCTCGTCGTCTTCCGACCACTGCTCTCTTCCTCTCATCATAGCATGCTAGCCTGCCAATCGGCCAAGCCGCCACCCCTCGAGCGCAGAGCCCATCTGTTCATAATCCGCGAACAGTCCGCAAGATGCGAACGCGACGACGAGGTTGTGAAGAAGCTGGAATGCCAGCATAAATCCTTGGTGGTCCAGGCAACGTAGCTAGCGTGGAGAAGCATCAACCTGGCCGAGCTGCGGGACGCGCGTGTCGACTGGCTTGAAACGTGAGATGGTATCTGCTGGTCTTAAGGTCGACGCCGGAGTGGGTGTCTAGAAAAATCAGGTAGATGAGAATGGGAGGGTTGAAATGAGAAAACCCGTCCATACCCATGGCTGTGGCAACCCCGTATCACACACTCGCATCATGCTCCCGCTCTGTCGCCTGCCTCCCCTCTCCAGGCTCTCCTAGCTAGACTTGGCCATCTGGATCCAATCCAAAACCCTTCGCAGTCTCCACGTAGCAGCAAGCAAATCCCAGTCTTCTGAGTGCTCAACTTAAGCTGCGTTCATGGATGTTAGGTTGTCGAGCTTCAGGTTCATTGTGGGTGCACGGAGATTCGTTTTATAGCTTCGGAGAAAGAGCGCGATCGAACCATTTCTGCGGATAAGGAGGTTTGAAACTTTGGATCAAGTGGGTGATGCGACGAGGGAGGTTGCATGCCGTGATGAACATTTGGAATGACCAGAGACCGAGAAAATCTGGACAAGCGCTGGTCTTGGCACAGGAGTCAGGACAGGTGAGTCGTGATCAGATGCATTGATGCGTGACGCGTGACGCACCACTGCCACGCGTCGTGTCTTTCCTCTAATCTCATCGCACAACATGGCCGCCTGCATGTCTGGGCGTCCTTAGGTACGTTCCAGCTCCTTTTTTCGTTCTTAATTGCTCACAACTACCTATAGTTATCAGCTTGACAGGCTGACCAGCTGCCGAGCCACTAGCGCTCAACAAGGCATACGCAGACGCCTCAACGACAAGTAGCCGCCAGCGGCCACGTCCACACCGTCCACACCGCCAGCTCAAGTACGATACCACCACCATCCGCTTTCACACACGCTGCACATATGCGTACACGTAGCGGGCTTTGCCACCGCATTGTAACCGTATCGAACATTGCCGCCCCACTGTATCTGGGCGAACTTAGGTGCTTGCCAGCATTTTACGTTTCGGTATTCTTACTCACAGATGATAACACCTTGATAGGTTCGAGCCACACCTGTGCTTCCCTCTGCGCGACCCACTCGAGCGCTACGCCGCCGCCGCCGCACCACCACCACCGCCGTCAGCGTGCACATGCCTGACCGATGTCATAACATCGCCGCCACCGCCCTCGACCCCTCGACTAACGCGTAGGGCAACTCGCGTCGACAATCCAAACGCCGCATAGACGTGTCGTTGCAACGAACGCTGTGTATGGCGCGTCTCAGGTGTCCACCACCTCCAACCCTCCCTCTGCGCCGCTCAACGCGTGCGGACGGCTTTACCAACACATATAGGCCAATCCCACGCATTCTGTACTTCGCCTTGTGCGCCGCTTCACGCGTGCGTACGACGGATTGTCCACGCGTCAATCAGACCTCGTCGCTCTCTGAGCTGAGTGTTCGACACGCGTAACAGTATCACTCCTTCACGCCCACTCCTCGCTCGCTGAACCCACGGGAACGTCGTCCCGTCTCCTCGTCACCACGTTAAAACCGCTGACTTGCCATGCGCGTACGGCTTGACGATGACGGTTCGACGACGGTGCCGCCCTGTCCACCCCCACATCACCGCATAGGCTATCCCGCAACATGGGTTGACGACTCCTCTCTTAGCCTCTACGCAGTCCATGACTCGAGTATATTGTAAGCCTTGACAGTGCCCCGTACATCCTGACTCGTTTACTTTGTTTCCCCTTTCCATTAGCTTGCCTTTTGTTTAAATAGTTATGCGTGAATTAACTACTGCTACTAGTTTGGCAAACATCATCGTGAATAAGGGCTACAATATATTAACCGCAATACCGCAACCTGTTCCGACAGAGAAATCTTGTAGATCGCTCCATCGATCTTTCAACTTCCCTCGCGGATTACCTCCTTTGTTCATCATCAGTCTCCCAGTTGACCGGGTACGTTGGATTTCGATGCAAGTCGATCCGGGTCTTGATTACCCGGACATCTACAAAAGGAAAGTCATCAAATAAAGGACGTCATGGGTGTCCCAGTTTCCTGTACAGTGCTAAACAAGACCGTACATGAAACTTTGACAGCCCCTATCTCGAGTTTGCGCGTGTACCCAACCTTTTCTTCTTTGGCTTTCAAGAAATCGGTGCGCTGTGGTCGCGTTCCCATATCTTGGTATCATCTTCGCGCCAATGTTCCTTATTTATTTCAGCACCGGTACCGCGATCTACTATCGGAGCACATCTATCGAAACCAAGTGCCTTCGCTTCGCTCGAGACTGTACGGGTTGTACTCAGGTATGTCGAGTCCCATTGTTTTGGGTTCGACCTGGAGCCTCAGTCTTATTTACCTAGGTTCCTTGCGCTCTTCGTCGAGTCCCTCGCCCGATTTTGGGACCTTTCCACTAAGAAGGTTAACTTTTGTCAATTAGAATCCTTTCCGAACTACAGAGCTCACCCGACAACTACAGGCATGCGATTCCTCTCCTGGCTGGTCGCGAGTCTCTTTGAGTTTTGTCGCGCATTTCGTGGTCCATCGTCCGCTCGCTGCTTCGTCGTCGTCGTGATTTTTCTGAGCCATGCAGCGAGCCCAGCTGTGGCGTCCAAAGTCTCCCCTCAATACCGGCAGCCTCGATAACAACCCGGCACGTAGTTGGGTATGCACATCGGCACCTCGAATGTTGTAGGATGTGCCCTTGTGCACTGAAAGCTCCAGCCCGCCACCCCACCCAAATGGCAGTACGAGGAAGCAAGTATACTCCGCCGTGTTCTCCAGCGCCAAGTCCAGAGAGTCGAGGTTTCTGCATAGAGTTCCTTCGGAAGTAAGTGGTGCTGTTTTATTTCCTGGCAAACGTCTCGTTGAGCTTTTTACAAGGTAAACTATACATCCGCATTTGCAATCCCTCGACGACGAATACCACCCTCCGTTCTCCGTCCATTCCTGCAGCAACGACACCGACAAACCTACGGACAGCTCAATGGACGCGCTCATTGGTCCCCACCACGCTGTCATCACCCCTCTAGAGCGGAGAGAGACGAGATTCACCCACCGAGTTTCGGGTTGGCACATCCAGCCATAGCGCAAGCCACTACTCCTACGAAGTCCCTCACCACGCCGATTCGACCTACACTCTCTCAGGCTCAGCAACATGCGCAGCAGCGAACATCTTCGACGCGTTGCCGCGGGAGTTGGGCGTTTTGGGATCAGGCTCGCGTTCATTACGGAGACAATCTCGCTCACCCTTGTGCCTGTCATCGAGGATGAGCCGTTTGCCTCTGTAGGTCGTGCTGCGCACAATTTTGCCATACCTGGCGGCATACTGATATTGAAAGCGGATATAGGCTCAGGTGAGTAACTCATTTCCTTATCGTTCGGTTCAACGTCTAATCCCGTCTTGTTTTCTTTGCTTCTCTCCTCTCTCATAGGCAGTATGCGCTTCCCCAGTTGACGCACATCCCACAGAGCACAGTCATACACTTCTCCCTGCCGCTCAGCACAGGTGCCAATGCTAAAGGGCTTCCGTCGCGCGTCAGGCTACACGCACATCCCTGCTCGTCTGCTCGTCCACGCAGGACACCGCAACTGGAGGAAAAATGGGTCGAAGAGGCGAGTTGAGAGGAACAGATTTACTTGCGCGCCCGATGGACCGGCTGTGCTTATTGTTCTCGAATGCCGTGGGTTGCATAGGGATCAGGAGCGATCACCGCGCGATGAAGCCGATCTTCGAGTGGTGCTGCTGCCCCCGCGCGCGCTTCTAATTCCTCCATCCTCGACAAGTCTACCTCGCTCCAAGCGCGTGTCAGGATGAGGGCCCTCGTAACAAGGAAAGCATGCCCTGCACACATTCGCACCCCCGCGTCATTCTCTGACTTAGGGCAGCGCTGCCCTACGCTTTAAGCTCAGGAATAGACGACGCCTATGTCGTTACCCCTTCTTCCCCCATTGAACTCCGTCCCCGACCTGTTTTTCATCTCGCTCGCCATCCAAATGAAAGGTGGAGCTCCCGTCACCGAAACGCGTCTGGGACTCAGTTGATTCTCTACACATACGCGAGAGGCCGTCTTGCTGGACGAGAGGAATGTCAAGAAAATGTGGTCGCGCACCGATCAATCTGCCTGCTTTAACTCCTACGCGTGTTGCGTGGCTAGCCGCTAGCGAAAGCCACGGTCCTTGTTACGACGATAATGAAAGCCTGGGTTCGTTGCGCGATGTGGGTGGTGCGGGCGGAGGGAGCGTGGTTATCGCTTGGGAGATCATCCAGCGCGAGCTTGGCTGATGTTACCCGCGCAGGACCTCAAGTCGGCATTCTCTATGTCAAAGCTGTGCCAGCTCGTCTCCTTCACCCCTCTGCGATTTACCGTCGGTCATTCACTTTCACCTCTACCCTCTCAACCTTTTCTTCCCTGTGTAGTCATCACATGTCACGTATCTCTTCCACAGTTCCACTCTCATATTAACGCTATCTTTCCTTGTGGACTCTACAATTACTTTTATCGGGCTGGTTTCGAATTATCTGTCGACGTGGTTCTCTCTAGGTGTATGCTTGGGAGGTGTGCGGCGCACGCAGCACTTTGACGACATCCACACCACGTCTTCCCAATGTCTCTGCATCCTCTCATCGATCTTTTGGTTCGGCTTCCTTTACTCTCATGAAATGAGAGAGTACACTGGGTCTACATCGGAGGTGGAGCAGCTCTTGTTTGACTCAATGAGGATAAGACCTTGCTGCGATGGCGTCGGGAATACTATCAAGTCGGTATGTCCTGCGTTTCGGTATCATTTGGTTGTGGCTGGCTGAAAGCTTTCGTTTTTGTAGGTCGTTGCTTCGATCGAGGGAGCTCCTGAGATTCGCGGTGAGTACCCTTCCAGTGTATGTATGCTCGCTCTATGTGCTAAGTTGTCGATCTTGACTTTCTCCACGCTTAAGAGTCATACAAACTCCCATGACAGAGGCATCGAGTTGTTTGATGGTGCGCCGCCCCTCGCAACGCGTCCCACGTCTTTCAGGAGGAGTCAATGCGCCGCCCGCGCAGGGTACGCTGCCTTGCCGCACTCGGAGGTGCACACCTCCCAGAGTCCCGTACCTCACCCCCAGGCGGAATGACTGGCGTCCCGTTGACCTTCATATTGTATCATCCCCAGATATTCAATCGCTCGCATTCTTCTCTGAATATACTTGCGATTCCAACCATCTGTTGCCGCGTTCCACGATTTTTAACCTGTATCTACTCTACTGCGCTGACACCTTTACTTTGTTCCACTAATTAAGTACTGCTATCACTCCTAAGTAGCTCGTCGACTTGTGGTCAAACTTTGCTCCGTTGGCGTTGAGGCCTGAGGCCGTATGCCGACTGTGCACTCCGATTCCGATCAATCCCAAAGCCCATACTCCGCCGACGACGGGACTGAAGTATGGTTGCGCTGGAGTTAGTGCTAGACGAACCCCAAGTATCCTAGGCGAAGCGCACTCCACAATCTCCAGAGCCTCGTGTTTATAGTAGACAAGATGCCCCGGACCTCACATGGAACGTGCCGGAAACACAATTGTCAAATTCGCAATCCTAACCACCTCCACTAGCACAGCTGCAACCAAATACACTACCAGACCCGACGTCTTCGCCGAAGGCGGGACTTCAACGAAAGCTCCCCGCAACGCCGAACTCTTTCACGAAAATCACACGTATACCGCTTAAACCACCACAGTTGGCACGGGAGCTCTCCAGCGACGGATCTGACGATGGGGCACGCCGCCGCCGCCGCCCGCGGAAGGAGTTCAAGTGTCTCCCTGTCATGACACCTTTTTTCTTCTACCCACGTCTACGCCGCGAGGACTCGATAGAATCTCATCAGTCCGATACATCCCCCCAGCCCCCCAGCCCGCTTTGATCTGGTCGAGGCTTCGCCTCGCTCTCAGGTCAGATTAACCCAATACCCTTTTTTCTTACTCTGACGCCACTGCTCCTCCCAGAGCTTTCCTCCTAGTCGCCCGCCCTTCCTCAATGCGGCCCTCACCCAGCTGAGTGCCGAATCCTATGAGGCTAACTTGGAAGAGGTTTGGGCCCCGAAGGAGGTTCGATCCTAACGCCTCTTGACACGCTAAGAGCCATGTCTTCCCTTCTCGACTTTCTGTCTAGGCCTGATCTCCGAAGCACGACGCCTCGCGTCAATCACTGTTCATTCACTCCCAACCCGTTTCCTCTCTACAACCACCTATCGACGCGTTACCGCTGCCTCTCGCGATTCCAACCAGCGCTCTCTGGCCGTAAATTATCCCCATCACTGCTTATAATCCATGTCTCATTACAATGGACCCGCATCTCGTAAGCCCTCGGGCTAGGAGGTTGGCATTGGCATGCCTGTCAGTGAAGATCCAAAAGGTCTTGCGGCGCTCAAGCGAGTGGTGTAATCGGGATGTGCGGTATCTGGCGTGGCCCAGAAGGTGGCCTACGCCCTTCACCTCGAATCAGAGTCAACAACAACGACGCGGCACTCGCAAAGTGCGAGTCCCAGGCCGAGTCTTATTGTCATGCTGGGTCGACGATCTCGCGCACGAGGAATTGGACCCAATGCTCGTTTGGGCTCGTGACAGTGTGAACGATTTAAGGTGGGGCTATTGGGCAATGGTGGCGACCCGTCATTCGTGGGGTGTTTATCGACAAGCTGGGATGCAAACCTCTTAAGCATCGCTCGATCGTTTGCATCCACGAGTGCACAAAAGCACAGCCAAGCTATGACGACATGGGTGGCTGGAAGATGATCAGAGGGGCAGGGACGCAGTCTGGTGCTCTGCGCAGATGGCTTTGGAGCTAGCATGGAGTGACCAAACTCAAAGCTCATTGACGGAAAGCAGGAACGCAGCACCGTTATTTGGCACACTGCGTGGCCGAGTGGATGGTGCGAGGAAGCAACTTGTTTGTGTTGGCGAGGACAGAACAGAATTGAGGGCGGTTGGTTGGTAAAGATGCGAGCTGTGCCTGGACCACTATACAGGTAAGCAACTTGCATTTGCAGATTTTCGGATGCTTCTTACACATTACTTCTCAGCTGAGCGACGAGGTCAGAGTGGATGATGGTGGCAGTGTGGTGAGATGAGTCACCCTGTATTACTATCGGTAAGGTAGACTCACGGTGTCAGTGACGATAGTCATCGCCTACCGATAGCTATCCAGTTGCACAAGGCGGGTGTTAGTTAGAGGAGGCTGTGGTGTGGAGGTCATCTTGGAGGCGGGCTGAGCTCAACGGCGCAAGGACGTGAGGTGGAGGGCGAGTTTTCGAGCGAGAGCAGAGCCTTTGTCGTATACTGTGTAGGCAGAGGGAGTGTAGACGACGGCAGCTCGCAGCGATGAGCGGTCGACATCTGTTAGGAAAGCTGAGGGAATCGTTGCTGGTGAGAAAAGGGCTATAGCAGCCCAAGATAAGTTTGCTGTGGGCGTCCAGGGCGAGTGTAGAACATACGGAAGCTGCAACGGTTCAAACGGCTAAGCATGCCGGCACCGAAGAATGCGGGAGTGACTGTATCGATGTTGAGTTAGTAGGTAAATTCAGTTAGTCGGATGGTGGAAATAGTAGATCATGAAACCAAACTCTGAGCAGTACAGTTCTTCAGTCCGAGGATGAATTGGGCTCTGTTGATGCAAGTTTGGTCAAAGTTTGGCAACACTGATGACTGGAGGTTCAGATTCGCCCTGCACCATGCTGTCGAGACGGTATATCCATGACGACAAACCTTCAGAAGATGCCAAGAAACTTGTTGGCCGTGTTGATCCAAACAGTCAACGGTGTCTCATCGAGAACCGCCAAGATCTCGCTGTCGAGCATTGTTACCTCCTTCCAACATATCTGTTGCGGAATGAACGAATCGTAGAAGTCATCCCTTCTTTGACTAAATTGACTTATTGGACTGGCCTCATGTCCCGATGTTGTAGATGTCGTCTCTGGAGTGGTTCTGGGGGATGAAGCACGGCTCCCTGAACCTTGATACCAGGTACAACGTCTTTCCAAGTAAGTTTCTCCTCCTCATGAGCTTCCATACGTTTCACCTGAGACTGATTGGTCTCATAGTCAGTTCTTCGCTCCTCCGTCTATATGAAGAGAATAAGTGGGGGTTACTCCCATCAGATGACATTGTTCATCACTATGCCCGAGGACTTAGTCTTGGTTTTGCAAGCCGGCCTAAGGGAGACACTGTACAAGTGCGTACTTGAGCTTATCCGACTCTTATCCGTGCTGATCTCTTCTCCAGAATGGCGTCTTCACATATAGATTCCTTCCACTTTCCAAGGCCATTGAGTCTATGGGCATTCTACACCAGCATGATCATCCGACCCCTCATCCTCCTACACCAAGTAGCTTTATCACATCCGTCCATCCATTCTCAGAGCTTCAGAACCTCGAGTCGCACCTTCATCCCAAGTTCGCAATCGCTGCCCTTGGTTATAAACTGGGTTTGGTCGATCAGAATCGACGCAAAGAGCTCCTCCTTCATTGGCCCATCCTTTGGACATTGATGTCCGTTCATCGTGCTTGGATGGTATCCGTTCCGGTGGTTGCCTGCGATCACGAATCCTTCGCGTCTCTTTCAGAGTCTAGAAGCACGTCAGACTCAGGCTATGGCGGCGGAATCAGCGAAGGTACTATCCCGATACGCCCACGTCCAAGGGTATCTGCAAAACGGGAAAGGTCTGCCAGCCTTGATGAGCTGTCCATGTCTTCACAGAAGCGCGCTCGACTTTCTGCTCATGCTTTGTTATGTCACGACCGACGCAGTGACAGAAGTGGATGGACCCGGAAGAGAATATCTGATTGGGCTGCATCGTCCGCGTGTACTTTCGATTTGTAGTTAGTGTGGCTGGATGCTTATGTCATGTTTTTGCTTTTTCCTTGAGGCTTGAGAAGATCAGTGCATGTGTGACACGTTTGGCATCGAGGATAGATTTGACCCACCCATCCTCGTATCAACCATTCATGAGCCAGCAAAAGACCCCAGAATCCCGCCTTGGGTGCCCTCACGGGGCACTAAAATCAGAGTTGACTCTGTTGATCCCAATCAAGGCCGCTGCCTCATCGAAAACTGCCTAAAGTTTCGGGAGGTTGAATACTGCCATGTTATACCACGAAGCTTTACAAAGTTCACCGACAATGTATGTCTCCAGATTAGTCATCGCGACTAGCAAACTCACTCAATCATCGTAGATGACAAATCTTGAGTGGTACTGGGGGCTGAGACATTCAACCCTGGACCTGGATACGAGGCGTAATATTTTGCTCGGTAACCCAGGCTCTTTCACCTTGATATCTCAGGATTAATGACATCATGCGATTATTTAGCTGGATCTTCTCTGCACGGCCTTCATGACAATCACCGTTGGGGGTTGCTGCCACCCGACGATATAATCAACAAGTATGCGAACAACATTGACGAAGAGGAGCACTATCAAAGGGGGTCTGTTGAAGTCCCCGTAAGTACATCCAAGTATTTTTGCTTTATTGCCTCTGATTCAATAGCGTATTATAGGACGGGGTCTTCTCATACCGACTCATCCCGCTTCATCCAGGCATGGAAACCATTGGCATTCACCGCCAGCTGGGACACGAGCCCGACAACCTTACTTTCACAACACATGTATTTCCGTTCGACCAGCTGCCACCCCTTCAATGCCATATCCACCCAAAATTTGCAATCTACGAGTTTGGCTCAAAACTCGTCGGGCTCGCCGCTGAGATGCGGGCTGAGCTTTTCGAACGTTGGCCAATTCTTGACAAAATTGCCCTTATCTACAGGGCGTGGGACGCGCCCCCGACAGAGGATATTTCAAAATGGCTGATGGACATCCCGGACTCAAAAGGTGACTCCAGTGACGATGATGAATATCCCCCACAAGGTATGAAGCGACGCAGAGGCTCAAGCATTCACATACCTCAGTGTAAACTGTCTGGTACTCCCAGACGGATAGAAACTACACCCCCCCGTACTCCCAGGGCAAGCTGGACCCGGCCGGGATATATCTGTCCCTGGTGCACCCAGGTGAGCTGGAGTATATCTGTTCTGAGACTCCCAGTTCCAGTAAACTTTATCCTGCGGAAAATTCCAGGGTGGGATAAACTGACTACAGGAGCTGAATATCCATCCACTGGTACTCCCAGGGTGGATAGACTTGAGTTTGTAAGGAGACAGCAAGTGAATCTGAAATATCCATCCTGTGGCACTCCCACTGTGGATAAATTAGAATACCCATCCACTGGTACTCCCAGGGTGGATAGACTTGAGTTGGTAAGGGGACAGCAGGTGAATCTGAAATATCCATGCGCTGAGACTCTCGGTGGGGATAAACATGGAATATCCATGCGCTGAGACTCTCGGTGGGGATAAACATGGAATATCCATGCACTGAGACTCTCGGTGGGGATAAACATGGAATATCCATGCACTGAGACTCTCGGTGGGGATAAACATGGAATATCCATGTGCTGAGACTCTCGGCGCAGATAAAATACACACATTCCCGCAAATTGAGACACCATGAAAATGAGCATATTTGAGCACAAGACATTTACATTACATCGCCATGTGTTATTACCGGGCTCTGGTAGTACGTCCACCTCTAGGAGATATATCAGCTACCTTGACTTGATTCCCCATGAATATCACTCACAAAGCTGGTGCTTTCAAGAGCTCAATAAAAAGCAGGCGGAGCTCCTTGCAGACGGTGACACATTGTTGGGCCTCTGCTCCTTGAGGCTTTTGACGCCTCACCACACCCTTTCCCCACACATTGACCGCCCATAACATCACCAACAGTCCCCTACCACCACGCTGGAGATGTGGTTGCTCCAAGAGTCCATCCAGCCCCTTTTCTTCACGAACCTCTTTATCTGCATCCTTCTGCTTCTTCCACCATTTCCACATATCTTCACCAAACTTGGCATCACCTATCAAGCCATCCACATCAAACAAACCTTCTTCTTGCCAAGCATCAACCCAGACATCCACCGCAGTTGGTAATCCTTCAACATGATGAGGCACCCCATCCCCGTCAACAGCCTTCCCTAATAATGCCTTCTCCAGTGCCCAATAATTATCAACCACTGCCCTCCAATCTGCCCCGAAGCTTTGAAAGATGTGAGCATCCTCACGGAGTAAACCACATGAACTAGCCAGAGTTAACAGATCTTTAGGAATCCTTGATGCTTTCCCGATCCAATCCCTTTTCAGCTCGGCTTTGGCTTTAGGGCCAGCGTCTTTGGCTTTAGGGCCGGCGTCTTTGGCTTTAGGGCCGGCGTTCTTGGCCTGCCCGCGCTTTATCTGGTCTTCCTCCCTAAGTACGGACCAATTAAATTCAAATTCAAGTTGAACTAAGAAATTAATGGCTTACCATTTCCGCAGGCTGTTCCTAATTCCGCTGCAAACTTCGCCCAGTTCCTCCCACTCCTTGATTGCGAAAGAAGAATCTTGCATGTATCCAGGAAGACTTTGGGCCTCATCACTACCAGGCTCCAGAAAACAAACTTTGGCCATGTCACGCAGCATGAGACCAACAATGAGAACGGTGGTTTCGACTCGCCCATATGGCCCAACTACATCACCAAGGCCAACATGGGGAAGTGGGTCCTGTAGGAGGTATGCCTTCGCTGCTGCGAAACTTTCACGTTCTTTGTTGGACTTGGACTGCGTGTAAAACTCCATTGGTAGATGTGGTGTTTTCAAAGACCAGCTGCCCCATGTTGGCGGGCGTTGGTTAGACCGCATGGACACTTGCCCTTGCTATAATACAATCAGCCAACCGTCCAACTGATTCATCTAGGAACTACTAACCTTGCACTGGCTCAGCCAACTGATCATGGCTTGATAATCACCGTTTGTCGAGAGAGATCTCAGAAAGATGATGCGGTCCTCGTCGGAGACCTGGCTTGGCGCTAGCATGCCCACTGGAACATCCTTTCCTCCGCCATTCTTGTCAACGTCCATTGCGCTTCCTTTACCATCCACATCACCATCCACATCCATCATTGTGTCAGATGGAGTCTTGATACGCTTGCTTGTTCTGACTTCCACCACTGAACTCCTTCGCCTTTTCCCTTCACCTTTCTCCACCTTGCTTTCCTTGGACAGAGTATCCCAACCTTCTCGGAGACGTAGACCCATGGTTCCTTTATCCTGGCGGCGCAGAAAGTGCATATAATATTGGCGAACATCGGCAATAGGCATCTTTGTTGGTTCCCCAAAGTGTACCCCAGATATCAAAGACTTTGGGTAAATATATGCCTCGTTATCCTGTGAGAGACGAAGCCACGGTAATCTCTTCACTTTGCCGTCAGAGTCCATATCTCCACTGTTTGTCAGTATTTGGAATTTATCCCAATGACAAGTGCCTACCTGCCACCAAATTCCCATATTCACGGAACACCCTGACAATTGCTTCGCTCCTGGCGCCTGCTGGAAGATTTGGGAGCATGGGAATACCATCTTCTGATTCTTCCACAATAGCCCAGGAATCCCGCTCTGGGTCTGTATCCTTAGACTTCACTGCATCTACCGCAATCCTTAGTATTCAACTCGGTGCCAGAACAGACACCCACCTCCATACAGACCGGCAGGCACCGACTCCAACCACTCCTCTTGGAATGCCCGGAAGACATTTGGCTTGATGAACTTGCTTGGACGTTTTCCATCCTTAGTTTCATGCCTATATACATTATATAAGTGAATGTTATCAATCTCATGTACACAGACAACATACCAACGAATGATTGGGGAGTCATCATCTCCTGGCGCCATGCTGAACATAATCACCGATGCTCCGTAGTATTTAGCAAAGTATTCTACTACACTGTTCATGCTCTCCTGCATGTTTCGCTTTGCCAGGCTAAGTATAACAACGGTCAGAAAATCTGACGATAGCGCTAAAACACTCTTACGATGGTTTCATGTTCTTTGGTGGGCCTTGCCTATTCCACTCACGCGCTTTCTTGCTAAAATCATCTTTTTCCTCTTCGGTGAACCCCCCCCAATACTCATTGATGGCCAAGTTGAAACGCTGGCCAAATCCCTTATCTTCGTGATGCGCTAAAATCTTCTTGAAGGCCTCCTCATCACATGCCTTCGCCATTAGCGGCCCAGTCATACGTTTGTGCCATGGAACATCAACATTGCGGGCAGGTTCATCATCCTCGTCATCCTGCTCTTCATCATTCTCCTCTACCGCCTTATTCTTTCCTTTGCCCCCCTTCCCTGCTTTACTCCGGTCATTTGCAGCCCCCATATCCTCCCCATCCAAATCCTTGCAATATCTCTTCTGGTTATTTTTGAACCACCACGCAACTTGCTAGTTGTTGATGAGTCCTCTTCTCTTTCCTGCAATATTGTGAAGTCAAAACTCACCCCCGCTAGACTGGCAGCATCTTTCAAAGGGTTCAACTTGCTGGTGTTTGCCGCCTGCTTTGCATACAACTCTTTGCAGGTGCGTTTGATCACTTCCTCCCTTCCTTCGTTTTTCTTCTTATGCCATTCGACAATTGCTGGCTTCAGAATATCGTCCACATACGGGGTGGACCAGGCCATTGTTGAATTTTCGGATGTGGATGCGGTGGTCTGTAAGGTAGGGCAATATGTTTCCACGGTAAACAATTCATTGTCACACGGAGCTCATAATCTTATGTACTGTGCAAAATTTCTATATAAGGTGGGGTGCATATATAAATACATAAATACATGGCGACTATGTAAGAAACTACAGACATGACCATTGAGTATGGGACAAGGGGGCGGGACACAGGCCACGGGGAAGGCACTGGGATATGAAGTCGGTGGGTGGTGCTTTGTGTACGACCTGTCTTTCTGGCATTGACACGTAATCCAGCACCCCTACTTGAGTTTTGGGTAGCGGAGGAGGATGGAACATGGGATGGGGCGTGAAGCAAGCACAGATGGCAGGACAAGCGGCGGGATGTGGTGTGGGTGGGTGGTACATCGTGTACCGTTTGCTAGGCGCCGACGTGAGATCCCGCGCCCCAAGCCGAGTTTGGGGCAGCGGAGGAGGGCGGAACGCGGGGTGGGGCACGAACCGAGCGCAGACGGCATGGGCATGGAGTGGGCGGGTGGTACACCGTGTACCACTCATTTTATTGTCGTCGACGTGAGATCCTGCGCCCCAAGCCGAGTTTGGGGGCACGGAGGAGGACGGAACGCGGGGTGGGGGCGAATCGAGCGCAGATGGTGTGGTGAGCGGCGGGATGTGGTGTGGGTGGGTGGTACATCGAGTACCATCTGTTTGCCAGGCGTCGACATGAGATCCTGCGCCCCAAGCCGAGTTTGGGGGCGCGGAGGAGGACGGAACGCGGGGTGGGGCGCGAACCGAGTGCAGACGGCGCAGACGGCATGGGCATGGAGTGGGCGGGTGGTACACCGTGTACCACCCATTTTATCGTTGTTGACGAGGAATCCTGCGCCCCAAGCCGAGTTTGGGGGCGCGGAGGAGGACGGAACACGGGATGGGGGCGAAACGAGCGCCGACGGTGTGGGCGTGGAGTGGGTGGGTGGTACACCGTGTGCCACCCGTCTCGCTGTCGTCGACGAGGAATCCCGCGGCCCAAGCCGAGTTTGGGGGTGCAGAGGAGGACGGAACGTGGGGTGGGGGCGAATCGAGCGCCGACGGTGTGGGCGTGGAGTGGGTGGGTGGTACACCGTGTGCCACCCGTCTCGCTGTCGTCGACAAGGAATCCCGCGGCCCAAGCCGAGTTTGGGGGTGCGGAGGAGGACGGAACGCGGGGTGGGGGTGAATCGAGCGCAGACGGCGTGGGCGTGGAGTGGGTGGGTGGTACATCGAGTACCACTCATTTCATCGTCGTCAACGTGAGATCCCGCGCCCCAAGCCGAGTTTGGGGCAGCGGAGGAGGACGGAACACAGGGTGGGGCGCGAACCGAGTGAAGA